CCCGGCTTGCCACAGGTTTGCCTGCTGTGTCTAAAAGTAGCAGTAGCAGCAACACAGACTGACAGCTGATTGGCTAATTTCTATCACGTGTAGCCTGGAGCTGGATGCTCCGGTGGGCTTTACCGTATTAACAGGAGAAGTGGCGCAATTGAAATTAGACACTGTAGTCGGACAACATGCGGTAATTTATAAATGTTCTAAATGAGGTTGGATCCGGATTAGCCAGCAGGTGGGTCCAGATCCGCGGTCCCCTAATCCGTGACCTCTGCCATAGTGGATTCAGCTATAATTGGCAACGTTTATCTTAAGCAGTTATGATTTGGTGACTTAGACTGGTGTTCAATTTTAACTTTGTAATAAATAATAGGAAAGAGTACACTGCCTTCACTTCTGCTATGGTTTCTGCCTGTCTCTTAAAATGTGAAGAAAATTCTTTGAGAGGATATGATTTTATTTCTGGCTTCTTGAAACTGACCCAGAGATATAACACAGGCAGACTGTGAGAATGACGAGCAGATTTAACGACACAGAACAAGCGCAAAGCAAGAACCCAGTAAAATTTCCTCAAGCCTTGAGAAATTTGGTTTAGTTTGCAGCAACATATCAAGACTTATTGTTAGTTATTGCTTAACTTGAAACTCAGAAAGCTCTAAAGACCCCCAAGAACAGAAACTGACTAGTTTTAAAACAGAGTATTTTAAATAAATGTAAAAAAAAAAAAATAAGGAACATAGATTTCCAATGGGAAGAACAGGCCTTTTCAGCAGCATGACTTAAATTGTGGAACGCTGTCCCACCCATGTTAAAACCTAATTTTAAGACCCATTTTTGTTTTCTGGCTTTTAACACCGATGGTCCTCTGTGTCTTTTAAAAGGGGCTTGGATTGGTGTACTTTAGTAGCTGTTTATGTTTTTTACTCTTACATGAGTAATTTTTTGGATTGCTCTACCAACCCCTGCTCAAAATACATTATGGAAACTGCATTTTTCTTAAACAGATGCAACAATGATGCTTAATTTAATTTGAAAGAAGGTAAAAACATAACTTTAAGACAAATCTAGGAATTTCTTTGCTATTTATTTTTCTATAAACTTATATTGAGGTTATCTTGTCTGTCGTTATAAAGTTGATTCTAATCAGTTTTCTTTGTTTCTGACTCTTCCAGGTGAACTTTACAAGTGAAAACTTTGTGATCTGTTTCAACGGCTTCTACAACCCTAAGAACAATGGCAGCTGTTTGGTGGGACCTAAAGAAGCGAGGGCAATGCTTCTGATTACTGGAAGGCTTCCAACAATAGAAATGGACATACATCAAAATATCCCGGCCATAATGAACAGGACCTTGGAATGCCTTGTTGTAATGGCCACTGATAACGTGAGTTCTGCAACATTAAGTTGAGTTTAACATTGAGTTTATCAACTTAAACATGAGCGATTATTGGAGAAATAACTACCATCTCTTTTTTAAAATCTGGTTCGATATAAGGCATTTTTCTGAAATGTTTTTTAAAGATAAAAACATGCTTACGTGTTCTTCTTACAGGGCTTTTATACCATAGCCAACTTTGGGTCAGAGACAGCTTTTATGGCTCAACATACGAGTGGGAACCTATCGGTAAGGAACTGTTCTCCACCTAGGTGAACATTGATTTTATGACTTCCCTTTCTCCTACTTTATTTCTGTTACAGAGACTTGTATTGTACTTGTCTCTATATCTCTCCACCTGTATGAAGGATCTCTGGTTTTAACTCTACTTTTTCTTTTGTAGCTGGTTGACATTCTGGTGGATGGCACTAAAGTTGAGTCACTTAATGTGACGTATACTGAAGGAGAAAACGAAAGGAAATATGCAGACCTGTCTGGCTGCAGACACTTAGGTTGGCGAATCTCTTGTAATATTTCTAAATCCGACCAAAAAAGTTCAAATCTCACTTTTGTTTTTGCTCTGGGGCAAAAATGAATCATTACAATATTTATGGGTTTTTCATCTGAAACTGATCTTCCTTCTTTTCTTAGGGGTTTTGTACAGACGTGGAGATGTGGTCACCTCTCATCCGCAAAACTGTATCAGCCTCGTTTGCTCTGCAGATGTTGTCCTCCAGAACACCACCTGTGGACCTCTGGAACAATGTCAAGGCAATGGCAGGTAAATAAATTCTCCTTTAAAATAGGAGCAGATAAATGTGAATAACATGGAAGTAGAGATATTAAATGCAATCTAAACCATTTAAATTCCATTTATTTATATAGTGCCAATTCACAACAAATGCCATCTCAAGGCACTTTACAGAGACAATTCAACCAGATCATTCGGTCAAAATCGATTCAAGGTTTTCTATCTAAAGAAAATCAGCTGATTGCATCGACTCAATGACTCGAAAGCTGACGCTAAGCATACTTGTAGCGACAGTGGAGAGGAAAACTTCCTGTCCGGCTTGGTTTAGCAGCCTTTAGCATTGGCAGCACCTTAGTAGAGGTGCCACAGCCAACAGCAATCACGCCTGGGCTGGTCCGTGGTCGGCTGCTTACGTAATCTTTGTTGCAGGGTTGTGACATCAGGGGGAAGTCGCTCTCGCTTTGTCACTAACATTTGATCTTCAGCACAACTGATTGAACTTTACTAAATCTAGCATGGTTTGACATTTTGAGAAGTTATAATTTCTTATGCTGCTGTATTAAAAAAATATCCAAGCAATGTCTAAACCAAGAATAATAGTTAATGTGTTCCAACTCCACGGCATGAAAGAGCAGAAGGCACAAACTGAACATCAAGGAGGCAATGATTCAACAAGAAGACAAAGACCGTAAATAAAAAAGTGACTGTAACAAGTTGCCACCTTGTGCTATGCTATCCATCAATATATATCAATCTAAGTGTATGAATTGTTTTGCTGACATAAATTTGAGGTATTGTCATTTATTGATAGACTTTATTTTATCTGCCTCCTTTAGCTGTTTTCTGGACGCCATCTGCACGGTGACGGGTCCCGCTGTCATCGACTTCCACGGCCAGCAGAACTCTGTGAAGGATCGCTGTTCATACTCTCTGCTGAGGATCCCATCAGCACCAGGCTTCCAGGTTCTGGCCAACTTCCAGGAGCGCCGTCGTAAAGATGTGAGCTTCCTGGACAGTGTGACGCTGCAACTGGCAGGACAGGCCATTGGTCTGAACCAAGGAGGCAGAGTTGTGGTGAGTCGCCTGCAGACACAGGTCGTAGATCAGAGAGTAGTTTGATCCTGACGGTGTCTCTGGTTTCCTCAGTGGCATCAGCTCTCTGAATGATGCTAAACTTAGTGGTTGTTGCCATAGAAACAGTCAGGTTTTGGGTTTTAAACGTTCCCCTCAGTGTTTCCTCCACTTTGTCTCTTTGTGAACCAG